CGAGTCCTGCAGTAAGGTAGGCAACCGTAAGAGAGGGCCAGAGAAAAGGATGCGCAGAGAGAGGGGGCGCGCACCGGGTAGGCAGAAGACACAGTCGGATGAGGAGGATTCGCATAGACGAGGCGTAACAACGGCGAAGGAGGTCGCCGCTTCTGTGGAGAAGCAGAGGCTGGGTGGAGGCGAAGGTGAATGGCAAAGTAGCGACGAGCGAAGTTACCTGTGGCACGAGCCGAACTAGAGGCAACGCGGCGGAGTCTTGGGAACGAGGTAGAGAATATGAATGGTAGGTAAGAGAGTCGGCATGAGGCTGGAGGCTTACGTTTTCTGCTGTCGATGACTGCATTAGGTTATTTTCGTACTCTCTACTCGATTGCCGTGCGAGCGGCCCACCCGCCCTCCCACTAACAGCCAAATGGCTGATCGGAATTGTCTTTGAAGGGTTTGGGTACCGCGGGAGTGTGGTCGCAGACGCAATGGCCTTCCCCACAATAAGTTAGTAGTGAGTACGGATCACGCGATGACGTTTAAGCAACATGCATTGGCTCACAGGCTTCCTGCTTCATCCTTGAAGATGCTGGTTGCGGGACCTCTCGCTTCACACATAGGGTTTCTCACTGCAGGCGGTATCCTTGCAAAAACGCCATATGAGCCAACGCTAGATTTTTATCATATAACCTACACAAGCCAGCAACAACCGCAATATATCGGAGCAAACTTAGCATTTGCGCAAGATTAATAACACTAATTGGAATCTGGACACTAACTGGGAAGAGGCGAGCGGTCTGAAAAGTGCAAGCAAGCGGCCTGGTTGAGGCCGCACCCAACGAAATTGAGGAGTCGTCTGAAGTCCGGGAGCCAAGATGGATTACAAAAGCATAGAGAAGCATTCTAAGCTGTCATTCTGGATTATGTCAATCCTGGTCTGGGTCTTGTTTGGTGTCCTAGCGGTGTTAAAGTTGCCCTTGCTGCAACTGTGGATGTTCGTGGGTATCGCTGCCGTTGTCGCTGGGTTTTGGCTGATCTTGTGCGCCTAGGGGTCTGGCTGGTTGCAATCTTAGCAAGTCTACCTGCGGGTGTGCACAGCTCCGTATGGAAAAGGTGTGCGTCTAGTATTGTGAGCACTTGTGTACAAATGCACTGCGAAATGGGTGATCCTTGATGTAACCGGACGGGGTCGGTGACGTTTATTGCTCGTTAGGCGGGGTTGGTGGGACCTGAAACCCACCCTAGCAGCTTATGTTAACTGATCCCCGAAATGGCCGCGGGCGCATGTTTTCTATGACAAAAGTGTAAGTTGTTTGTACAGTTATGCGGTAGTAATGCATTGCGCGGGCAAAGGTGCATCTGGCGAAGACGCGCATTGGTCGCACGGTGACGACAACACAATTGTAAACTGTTTTAAGCATAAACGTGCGTACTTGTCGCTTTATCTTCTTGCATAGCATCACGCATACTACCTACGTGTGTCAAGATAGGATTAACTTATAAAGGCCGTGGCGTGCCTCGATCCAAGTCATGCAACCTGAAAATGCAGCCTTCCCAGTCTGGTTATAATCTGAAAGGAGTTTTCCTTCGTATTACTTGGCCGTGTTGAGAAGAGGACGGCGTAATGGACGTCGGGCGCATACACTGTGAGCTAGGGTCTGGCAGCTTTCAAAGGTTATGTTTGCATATACGTACTGTATCCGTTTATCCTTGCTGGCGCCGGCGCAGGCTTCTTGGTTGCCACCAGGGGTGGCGACGTAATATACGAGAGGTTTTTCGATCGCTTTACGGAGCTGGAAAAGGCGGAGATACGTGCAGCGTTCAGCGCGGCGTCTAGTAATGTCCGGATGCCACCGGATCAGGAGCAGGACTTCATCGCGCCTTACAAGTGCGTCAATCATCGCCTTGTCCTGGTCACACCGTGTGACCAACGCGTTCAGATGCGTGCACCGTGTACAGGTTGACCAGGTTCGCCTTCGTTCCTGTGGCGGATACCGTGTTCTATCTACTGGGTTCCGGGGAGTACGACGAAGTGGGCTGTGAGTAGGTCGCTTTCTGTGACACCCGCCCACAGAAAAGCGCCAGCCTGATTCCGTCATTCCCTATCTTGAGCAGTGGTCGAGGTGCTTCGAGTTATCATTCAAGTCCTGAAGGACGTGCTGGGTAAGGCGCCTTCGTCCGGACTACTGTTAGAAAAGTACGCGAAGCTGGCGCTGGTGGTGGATGAAGTGATCAACGAGGTATGCCCATGTCATATTCGTGGTGGCCATTTGGTCCTTTGCTTCAACCTCTGGTTACTTCGATCCTCCGCCCGCACGGCTATCTGTTTCGCGTCTCCCCCATTTCTCCTGGTTTGGGACAGCCAAGCACTGTGTTTCGTCCGCAGGGCTTGCTTGAAGCGGTGGACAAGGAGGCCATAAAGAAGGGGATCAAGGGGAAGGTGCGGTCGTGCATACGACTTACATTTCTTCGGGCTGAGGGATGCGCGGTGCCACGTTCCCTGGGGCGGCCATCGCGTGCGAGTACTGCCATCTTGTACTAGTTGGCTAAATTCACGGACCCACGCCTGTCTGGCTCTCGCAGGCAGCATGGGAGTAAAGCCGAGAACACGCAGGCGCCGCCAGAGCGCATCCGGTTCAGAAGAGATATTACGCCATGGAACGCCGCAAACGTACGGCGAGAGGCACGACTTGCGACCTCAAAGATCCGGACCTGAGGGCAGGCGGGAAATGTGGGCATGACGCATTAGCACGTGGTGGTGTAGGGAGACGGATGCTTTCATGGCGGACGTGTACAGTGCGCCCATGGCTGTGTACTGTAGTCATTGCGATGCTGACTTTATGCTGACGGAAATAACCATATTTTGTATATCTTCTCCATGACGCGTTGCCATGTGAGTAGCGACCAAGCGGGTTAGTGAGGATGTAACCCTCGAGAATGGTATGATCCTTGTGAATTGTAAGGAGCGCGCACTGCAGACGTTCATGCAGCCGCACTCGCACGCCGAAGGAACGGCCTCAACGCAAGATTCCCACGGGATTAATTAAAAGGCTTCCATGGAACTCCTCTACCAATGGTATACTCTCGAGGGATAGTTGGCGAACCCTCCGTCAGATGATGCGCCTTCAGCGCAAGATGTTTTTTCACGTGACCCGAAGAAAACGCGGGCTAATGTGCACACAGTGCTCCGGGTCCCCGCGCCCTCCCTACCTCCTAGGATCTTGCTGCGTGCCTCAGACGCCGTCCTCACCTTGAGAGCTGCTCAGCCCAACAAGGTATGATTGTACGGCATCTAAGGCGAAGCAACGCTTGACGGACGCGGGTATCGGGGTTGGTATGGATGTCCTGCGATGTGGATGCGATATGTCTGCCTAGCCAAATACCTGAACTGAACACAAGTCTCACCCATGGATAGAGCGTGAAAAGTCGGGCGCTCGCGACGGCAAGGTTGACGCCTGATGGCCCACAGGACATACTCTAAACTGACACAGGGCCGGGGCAGCCCGCTGAACCACTGCTCTCATACAGCGCAGTTGAGCTACAACGGACATGGTGTACACTGAATCGTTGTGCTGCAGCAAAAGTCCGTCTTTGGTCGTGGCGTGCCGTAAGCTCAAGTTGCAAAATGAGAAGGGCAGAAAGGCCCTTTTAACAATGATATATAACATGTACATTACGTATGGTTTTGGGGTTACACCTCATTCCGTCTTGCAGTTCCAGAACCTGGGCTATACAATACGGATTCGAACAGCTGAGCAGCTAGCATCACTAGCCGAAGCAACATGCTGAACATGGGAGATTGCTAGTTACCTCTACTCGATAACCGCCCAAGGTCGGAACGATACCATGGAGTCAATAACAATTGACAATGCGCTGGCTGGTGCACTTGCTATGCAATACCCATCAATGCTAAGCTTAGACCTTCGTAGTAACAACATAGTGTCCATACAAGACCTTTGTCCCCTCAGCCGGCTCCTCGACCTTGCACTTGACAATAACCGACTGGAAACGCTGGATGGGCTTGCGGGGCTTCAGTTCCTGACATCCCTGAGTGCGAGGAGCAACATGATGTAAGGGCATTGCATTTGCAAAGCTGCCTCTTTGCATTTGCGAAAGGATGGGGGAGTTACGGACGCGCAGAAGGGGCTCCTTGGCGGAAAGAATGCAACTCATTTCGCTGCTGTCGAAAGCGCTGAGCATCAGGACACTTGGAATGTATGGCACGTGGAGCTATCAAACGCCTTGTACGCAGAACTCACTTGGGCGACAGCGTAACGATGTTGTCAAGCCTCCGTGTCCTGGACCTGGCGTGGAACTCCCTGGCTATTGGACCCTGGGTGAGCAGAACATCGCTCGGTCTGGGCGCCCACTTCAAGCTTTTACATGGGGCAGCGTGTGTGTGTGTGTGTGTGTGTGTGTGTGTGTCCCATGGGCCGTGTGTGGCGAAAAAGGTCCACTTAGGTAGGCACTACTGGTAACGCGCGACCATTGCCCCCGGGAGATTCCGGGATCGAGACCTGTCAGGGTCGAAAATCCTTCCGATGTGTGAAGGTAATGCGCCCCTAGCTGATGGACGTTGGTGACCTGGGAAAAAGTTAACCTGCGAGCCGACCAGGAATGGAGCTGGGCCACTGTCGACCCGGCAGATTCCGTTGGATGCTGGTGGTGGGTGCGGAACCTGAGCGATCCACTGAGAAGTTGACTAGGGTGACTGGATGAGGGTGCCCCGAAATACCGGGGAAGGCAGGGTTTCGCAGGGTAGCTGCCATGTGTGAAGATATAACCCCCTGTTTAAAACGGAAAAAAGGAAGGTCCATCATCACGGGCGTTTCGTTCCTGTGCAAATGCATGTCTCACTCCTGGCTGTAGCAGGTCCACCTCCGCGATTGACGCATGTAAATCCGCTGCTTCGCATCCGTAGTTGGGGCCGCCTTCGTGGCGCTCTTGGTGCATGATACTGCGCTCGGGATGTATGGGACTACACATCGGTCACGGATGCATCATTTGTGTGTATGTGTGCGTGTACAGGTGCACCTGCTTGCCCGCCTGCCCCAGCTGGTGGAGCTAGATCTGAGGGGCAACCCTGTGTGTGACCTGGAGGGCAGTCAGCAACTGCTGGCCGCAGCTCTGCCGGGGTTGCAGCGCCTCAACGGCATTCCACTGCGGCTGGAAGCGGAAGGCGCACAGGTCAGCGGCAGCAATACATCGACTATCCCGCACCCGCAAGCAGATGGTGAGCGTTTCCAGCGGGAGCTGAACCAACATCAGCAACAAAAACCAAATCAGCAGCAGCCGCAGGGGCTTGAAGAGCGGCTCGGCTGCGTGACAACCGCAGGCATATCAGCGGAGGGTGCCCTGAGCATGCGTTGGCGTGGGGACGGCCTGCAGCGAGCTCCGGTGCTCGGGGGCAGCGGCGGCAGCGGTGAAAACCGGTCAGGTGCCGTTTCCCATACATTACCCACCAATCCTGCTGGCCTGCTCGCTTTGCAGTCTGATAGACCGCACCAATGGCCGCCACAACCTCTCACCATAGCAACGCCGCCCCCACAGCCGCTACAGCAGCCGCAGCAGCAGCAGCAGCAGCCAGCATACCAGGATGGTTCATCGGAGAGATGGGCTTCGCCGCGGGATGGCCGGCTGGAAGCTGAGGTGATGGTCCTGCGTTTGCAGCTTGAGGCTGCCACTCGGGCGCATGACACGCTGTCGGAGGCACACTCGAGGCTGCTGGCTGAACGGGAGCAGCTGGTGCAGCGGCCGGCGTCGCTGGCGGAGGCCCTGCGACAGGCGGAGGTGCGTTGCTGTGGTGGAGGTGTGTAGTTATGTCGTGGGTTTGCGGAGGTGTGTCGGTAGGAACACGTATGTGTGCGGACGCTGGCTGACTGTGAGATTGCAGGCGCCTGCGCTGCAAGCTGCTTATCGCCGTTCTGCGTTTACTTGCACCTTTGCAAATAGCCTTGGCGACGGGGTCTATTTGAGGCGGGGGAGACACAGAGCGCACCAGCATGTGATGGCACGAGCTCACCCGCCAGAGATCCCCCACAAACACAGAGCACACACACACACATACGAGTGGACGACGTGGATGGGGCGTGCGGAACCCTGACTCTTCTTCCCCCTACCATGCGCGCAGGAGGCCAATGCGCAGCTGCAGCAGCAGTCCACCTCCTCGGTCCAGCAGGTGGCCGGTCTAGCCAGCCAGGTCGCCACCCTATTAGCGGAGCGAGACGGACTGCTGCGGCAGACGGAGCTGCTGGGCTCCCGCCTGGCGGACGCCGAGGCGCGTGCTGCGGAGGCGGCCCAAGCCGCCAGCCGGGCAGCACAGCAGGTTATGGAGCAGCAGACCGCCAGGCTACAGATACAACAGGAGCTAACGGCCACGCAGAATCTGCTGGCACAACTGCAGCAACAACAACAACACCGACAAGCCGCCCAGTCCTCTGCGCTGGCGGGGATGTCCTCCGCCACGGGGTCAGATGGAGCCGCAGCTGCGGAGGGTTTCGGCCAACCGTGGGCAGGCGCTGCGACGTCATCGCCGCATAAGATACGCAGCGGTGCTGATGGTGGTGGTGCTGGTTCTGGAGTGGAGTCGGCGCTGTATCAGCGTGTGGAGGCGTTGCAGCAGATCGTGAGGATGCAGGAGCGGGAGCTGGTGAGGCTGGGTAGGTGTACCGAAGCCTGGAGGCTGGGTGACCCAAGCATGGGCAGCGGGGTCAGGGTCTGATAGAGGCGGCATGACTGTGGACATGAAGGGGCGCAGGGAAGGGCCGCAGGGAGCATGGTACGCGATATATCTCTCGAAGTCAATAAACCTTGTGAGGCATTGGCTTCATGCTTGGGTAATAAAGATCGCATGGTGCGCGGATCTTTGCGGGGTCTGGCTCGGCACGCCATGGGGGTTTTTAGTCTTCTCGATAGCGCAAATGTGCCAAGGTTGTGCCAAACTCGCACTCGGGGGAGTTGTGCCAAACTCGCACTCGGGGGAGTTGTGCAGTCAAGTAGCGGCATCTCATGACAGGGTTCCATGTAATGGGAGGTTATATCGCTTGGGGGTTGCGTTAATTATTGTAATATGCATGTGCACACGACCAGTTCGGAAGTGAGCATTCAGGGCGGGTTCCGCCACCTGCCGCCCTGCAGGTGGCCTTACAGCCAGTCAGGCAGTCGGGGGTGGTGCTGACGGCGACACCGGTCAGGCAGCTGCTGCGGAGGCCGGCTGGGAGAACCTGCTGCAGCCGTGGCGGGAGCAGGTGCAGCTCCTGCAGGAGCAGTTGGGGCGGCAGGCTGCGGAGGGTGAGGAGCAGCGAGCTGAGTGGGGCCAGCAGCTGGGGGAGATGCGGGAACAGTTCACACAGGCCCGGACATTGCTCGAGGTGAGCTTCCTTGCGGAGATGTTCTTTAGAATTTAGACTCCTATTGTTAACCTCTGTGGGCACCATCAGCACCCAGTGGTGAAGGCCAATCATTGGAGCTAACCCGCGCCTCCTTGCCGTAATGCCATAATCGGTTGTGCAGCTCCTGGAGCAGCGGTCCCGGGAGCAGCGCTCCGAAAACACGCAGCTGCAGGCCAAGATCACCCAGTTGGTCTCGGAGCTGCAGCAGGAGCGGCAGCGGGCCACCGGCTTGGAGCAGCAAGTGGCCGCTCGGGATGCGGCGGCTCAGGTGAGGGAGTGTGAGAGGGCGGGAGGAAGGGAGGGAAGGAGGGGGGAAGGGATGGAGGGGGGAAGGGAAGGAGGGAGGAAGGGATGGAGGGGGGAAGGGAAGGAGGGAGGGGGGAAGGGAATGAGGGAGGGGGGAGGGAGGTGCTCCAATGCAAGGCGTGGATGGACGGGGGCAGCTGTTCGCCAATGGAGAGGGGGTGACTGTGGAGGGAAGGCGCATGGGCTCAACTGGGTGCTACGTCGCAGCATACTGGGCTTGTACTAACACAGAAACTTAAAACAAGGCCTAGCCTGGCGATGATGGGTCGTGCAATCGCCACACCAGTGTACCTCGACGGCTGTTTGCCGCGAAATAAGTGCACGACTACAAGTGCTTGCGTGGATATGTGGATGTGTGTGTTGTATACACGGGCAGGACCTTGGCTCCAAGGGCGCTTCATACACACGCGACACCGAAAGCGGGCTAATGACCAGCGAGCTCCCTCTTGTCCCAGCTCGGCGGAACCGGGCTTGGCGTCTCCATGTCCTCCTCCTGCTCTGCCACCTCACCTTCCCTCGTTCCCTCCGAAACCCTGCTCCCTACACGCCGCTCCAAACTCCGCAGGCCGTGCGGCGGCAGCTGGTGGCCTTCAAGACTACCATGGAGCAGCGGGAGGCGGCGCTGGAGGACCGGGCCGAGCAGCTGAGCGCCCATGCGGAGCGACTCAGCCATGCCAGCAAGAGGCTGTCCTTCGCGCTGAGCCTGGCTGCGGTGCGGCGTGGCCAGCCCGGGGCCCCCGTTGGTGCTGCGGCGGCGCCTTGCGGGCTGTTGGCAGGGCCGGCCACGACCGGACCACATGTGATGTTGCAAGGTCGCTTGGCTGCCTCGCCAGCAGCCAAGTTAGCAGCGGCTTTTGCAGGTGGATGCCTGTAGTTGCTGCTTGGAAGAGGGTGTATGAATTCGAATGCGAGTGAAGGGTTAGATGTTGCGCTTTCTTCTTGGTTGAGGATACGTTTTCCTAGGAAATATGGTCATCCTCTGCGCCAAGGCAATACAACTCTCTGTGCACTGACTCTTATGGCCTCTGTGCCACCTAACACGCAGCAGGATTATGCAACCCGATACCAGCGATGGCCATGTCCTGCGCGGCTGACCACACATGCCAGGCATCCGTGAGAATGTTTGTGAGGAGACGCTTTTGGCTTCTCGCAGTGGCTTTAGTTCATCATTGAAACTGGACGCCTGCCAGACCAGGCCGCGGCCGTGTACAAATGCAGCTCACGCATCTCCTGATCGCATGGATGGCCCAAACCCTTCCCTTCCCGCAGTACAATCCACCATGGCCTACACGCCGTGGACGCCCGACCGAGGCCCTAGTTCGATGCCAGTGGCTGGAAGTGGAGCTGGCGGCGGTGGGGGAAATCACGCGGCAGGCGGCACGAGGACCTGCAATGGTTCCAGGGTGAATGGCGGAGCGGTCACCGATGCGTCGCCGCTGGTGGCGGTGTTGCGTCAGGAGCTGACCCAGTTGGGCCGGGACCGGCAGATGCTGCTGCAACAGCTTGCGCAGGTTGGCTGAGCTGAGATCGACATTATGACGGGTCGCAGCACGACTTGTCACATGCTAAACGATAGCACCTCCTGTGGCCTCTCCTACATCCATGGACGCCGCCCTTGTACCTTTAGGGGGTTTCGGGGATTTGCATCGTTTTCCGATTGGGATGAATGTGCATCTGTGAACCAGAGCGTTGATGGGGAGCAGTTGATATCCTCAGCTCGGTGCTTCCATAGCTGCGCCGTGCACACAAACCTAGCTCTCTGGTCCAGCCCGCCGCCCAACACACTGACATGAGGATGGGTGACGTTCTTTTAGCCATCCGACGAGGTGCGTGTTCTGCCGCTATCTTATGTCAGCTGCTGATGCGGTTCGAAGTGAGAGGAGACATCCTGCGCACAAGCATTCCACCAACTGCTCCACGACCATTCCGCCTTCTGACCGCTACCCCTCCTCGCACCCGCAGCCCTCTCCCGTCTCGCTTCACTGCGGCTCCTAACCCTCTCTCGCCTGCCCCTGCTCATGGCCGCCAGGTGAGCAGCTCCGCAGAGGAGCGGATCCGGGCGGCGCAGGAGCGCATGCAGGAGCGTGAGGTGCGGCAACGGGAGGCGCTGCTGGCTGCCAGGCTGCAGGCGGCGCAGCAGGCAGTGGAGGCGTCGGCGGAGCGCAAGGTATGGGACCAGGGCCGGGCAGGGTTTTGGAAGTGCCACGTTCCCTCGTCAATATACACGATATATATTGACAAGGGCGGATGCAAGAGGCTGTAGAAGGTTGGCTGGTTTGAAGCCATGCCATACGGGTGGGTTGGACAATCCCATAAACCCTCCCTCCAACAACGGAGGGAGTTGCGGTCACAACTAGGCAGCCAGCTAACCAGCCCGGGATGCGCCCATAGAACTTCACCGGACGGTGAATGCCCGGTCGTGTATGTTTGGCCAGGGCAGGACGTAGCTGGTGGCAAAGGAGGGTTGTGTGTCGGATGAGGAATACAGCACCAGGTGCAATAGAGCATTGCTCTGCTGTATTGTACCCGGCTTTGCCAGGGGATGACGGAACCATGCGCCAGCTGAACTTTGCATGCACACCACAATACGATGTCTTCGACACGGCAGGTGCAGGCCGCCGAGGTGGCAGCGGCGGCGCAGGTAGCCCAAGCCCGGCAGCTGGTGCAGGGGGCGATGGAGGCCGCAGAGGAGCTTTGTCGCCGCACGGAGGCAGCCGTGGGCCTGCGGCTGTCCAAGATCTCGGTGCGGCTGCAAGACTTGACGCAGCAGGTGCGGGCAGGGGCTGAGCTTCTCCACGACTTAACAGGGGTAGGGAAGTCAACACAACGGGGAAGGGCTGCGCTCTCCATGTGAACCATGAGCTCACGGGGGGTTAAATGGCCGTGAAGTTGCGGATATGGTTCTGGCCATTCGGTCCGGCTACAAACTGGTTCCTTGTTGGATGGTTGCTCATGTCAAAATGGGTGTTGTTATTTAGCGCGAAAGGATTGACAGGGCTGGCCTTTCTACCAATCATTACAGTTCACCCTAGCTCTGATTCCAAAGCGGGCGGGCCGATGTTATTATATTGTTGATGCACCAGGTGGCGTGGCTCCGGAGGGCGCGGCAGAGGGCCGTGGAGGACCTGCAGGCTAGCAGCCTGGAGCTGGAGCGGCTGCGGCACGAGGTGGCTAGTCGCCAGGCCTCAGAGGCGGACCTGCAACGCCAGCTGGCCAGCCGTGAGCGAGAGACACACGCCAGGGTGAGAGTATTGGAAACACAGCGCCGGCGCTAGGGTGCTTTATTGCATGACCTCCGTTCCTTCTGACGCATGGTTCCCTCAATAAGGAAATCGCCCGTTTTTACATCCCCCTTTGCTTATCTTGCCATGCACGGCCACATTTCAGGGGAACGAGGTCCAGTTCGAGGTGGCACCACAATCCTGTTCGCTTACTACTGCTGCTTACTCTGTCTATGATGTGTGAAACAGGGGGGTGTATCTTCGCCCGTGGCAGCTACCCTGCGAAACCCTGCCTTCCCCGGTATTTCGGGGCACCCTCATCCAGTCACCCTAGTCAACTTCTCAGTGGATCGCTCAGGTTCCGCACCCACCACCAGCATCCAACGGAATCTGCCGGGTCGACAGCGGCCCAACTCCGTTCCTGGTCGGCTCGCAGGTTAACTTTATCCCAGGTCACCACCGTCCATCAACTAGGGGCGCAATGCCTTCCACCATCGAAAGGACTTTTGCCTAACGGGTATCGATCCCCAGGATCTCCCGGGCAATGGTCGCGCCTTACCAGTGGTGCCAAACCCTTGTCTATGTATGTGCTCGCCCCCAACTGTTCTGCTTGGCAGCTGGCGGAGCTGAGGGCCGACCACGAGGAGGCGCTGGCAGCAGAGCGGCGGCGCGCGGCGGAGGCGGAGCGAGTGGCTGCCAAGGCCGCGGCGGAATGCGGGCAGCTGGAGCGGCAGCTGGCGAGAGTGCGGGAGGTCAGGGCGCAACAGGAGGATACAAGGTGTGCAGGGGGTGACAGTTGTGGGCAATCGGCAAGGGTAGGGAAGGGAACGGGGAGATGTATGCAAAGAGCAATGAGTCAACTGCCAAAGTCAAAAGTACCAAACTGTTGGAGTCCAAAGGGGAGGAGGGGGTTGTACATACGGAGACATGGGGGCCTGGACTACGGATGACATACCATGCATGGCCTAGCCAAGGCCGACTATGCTCTTGGAGTAGCTTAGCACCAGTTCACACCGGTACTTCCCATGGGAGATTCCCCCTTTGTCCCTACCTTGCACATCTTCGTGGTGTACACCAGGACATTGTCTATGTTGCCAATTGGGGCACGTCTTGAAGCACGCCCCTGCCATCCCTTCCTTCACCTGTCCCATGTCAATTGTCTAAGGCCCCGTAGCCTCGAACTGATCATCCATGGACCCGACAGTGCATATTGCATGAAGCTGTCCTGCAAATGCAGCATTTACAAAGCCGTCGCACTGCCCCCTTGCCCGCTCTGTCAGGCTCCGACGTCTCCAGTCCCAGGTTCACGAGCAGGAAGCCCAACTGCGAAGTCTCCGCCGTGAGCGCAACACGCTGCTGGCGGAACTGCGCAAGCAACAAGGGCTAGGAGTCGTGCGGCCGGTGGGGCCCACCGATGTCCCCGACCGGCCAGACACTGCCGGGCCGGAGGACACAGCAGAGGAGGACCAAGGAGGTTTACCGTGTGTGGCAGCCCCGCCTTCCGTCGGGGTCTTTGGGGAATGTGGGCATGTGGATGCCGCTGAGCCGCTGCACTGTGGTGATTCCGCAGTTGACAGGGGGATGAAACAGCCTCGTCGCCTGGCACCACGTAGTGCTGTGGGGACAGTGCTCGGCTGCAGTGCGGGTTCAGGAAACTCGATTAGCAACATTCTCAGGAGCAATGCATCGCGCCCTGGACTGGCCATAGCGCCAGCCTGCGACCGTTCGTGGGAAAGCAATGTTGCTGGCGCGCTGCCATCCGCGCTGCCGGCTACCAGGATTAGCGGTGCAGCTACGGCCACAGGTAGTGGGGCCAGTTGCCATCAGAGAGGACCGCCGCCAGTGGCGCCAGGGGCAGACAGGCCATTGCTTGAAGGTGGTACCAGGGGCGGTATTCCTTTGCAGCGGCTGACGGAGCTGGAAGCCCTTACAGCAGAGTTGCTATCGTTGTGACGATGGCTGCATAGCACAGCATTTCCTTTTTGGCTGTGCGTCGTAAACTCATATCCAGGAGACCGTGTTGTGGGCACCAACTGGTGGATCACCAGACCTAGAGAACCGCTTCGTTACAAGACGTAAAAGTTTTCAAACTTGACTCTCCACCAAAGCTCTTGACAACTACTTGCAAAATGCGTGCTGTCCGCGAGCGCCTGCCGGGTTGTTAACGGTGTGGGGGCTTCCACGATATCCAAGGGCTATCGGCGATATCCAGGCCGCTCAAGCTCGTCTAGCCTATTCCCTTGTCGCCAGCACCTTGCGGAGGTGGCCTCCGTAGCAGAAACGTTTGCCAACGAAACCTTCATCGAACGATATTCAAGGCGTGCAGCTCCGGGCGTGCTAGATGCCATCATCATCGCCTGTGGCGGTGGACCGCGAGGAGGCGGGGTTAGTCGTACAGAGGGGGGCCCCGCGACACAAGCGGTGCGCGATCCAAAGCAGGGAAAGGAGTCTGTGTCCCGGTTTGCAGCCACACCTTCGCTGCTGTGTATGAGACACCCCGAGCACGCGAAACTGCGGAGGAGACCAGCAGGTAGTGGCCCAGGCAGGTTTTCCTGCGAAACCCTGGTGAATGGCGGCACCAATCGGTACAGGTTCAAACAGTACCACTCATGGCAATGCCCTACGCAATTGGCATTTGCTATCTGTTACCTGGACGGCGCTGGGCCACAGTTCATTCTGTCTGGGCCATGTGACACGAAAGTCGTAGTTCTTGGGATAAAAGTGTAATGCTGTACGCAGCGCGCAAGCTGCAGAGCTATACAGGACCTTCGGAACGTATGCATCAAGAGACCGATTGATAAATGTCCGCGCTCCTTATTACCTATATATTCATCCACCAGCTAGAAGTACTTGCGAAGAATTTCAATCAATGCGTTAGCATTTCCGATAGCCACTGCACAAAGACTGGTTTCAATTTCTCATGTACAGCCCCACGATGTTGTCTTTTGCGTATACTCACCGTTTGTAAGGCCAGAATTCTGTTTGTTATATAGATTACTACTTCAGCTATTTGAGTCGTCGGCAGGGCTCTTCCGCGCCTTATTCCCCTTTTGGTGCTACACTTTGCTGCGGCACACGGTCGCGCGCTTCCTTCAAATGCTATGGATAGTATGATTGTTGTTGTTGTTTTAAAATATCAGCGACGAATACGGGCTGGCCAATATGCAAGTTCTGACCTCTCGCCGTGCTAGGTATAATAGCCTCAGCCCATAACAGCAATGAAAATACTATGCACGGAATGCAAACAGCCGTGCAGGCGCAAGGTTGTCAACCGTGGGGTGGAAAATTTAAACAGGTAAGGGCAGTCCTGAGCCACTACACTATTCATCGTTGGAAAGGGTTTTTAAGGTTAGCCTAGTCCTCCTCTTCGCCTGGGCGTGTCACAAAAGGCAGTGTATATGGAATAATCAGCGTGTATACTTGCTCGAATGTGCTTCCTCGGACCGTATGGCAGGTCGCTGGGTTTTAGCTTGCGTCGTGGTGTCCTCTCACAACTGAGCCCATTGTTTCATTTCACCCTTCAACCGAAGGCTATGCGTGCTAAAATTGGTTGGGGACCCAGGGGTTTCAACGTTCCGAGGGACGTAGGCTGTGGGGGAGGCTTACGGCAGCCCCCAAATGAGATGGGGCAGATAGTGTCTTGGGTCAGCACCAACACTGCAGGCCGAAAGAGCAGACCCGGGCATGACTCAGGGGTATCGGACCCTCCATAGGCCCCATCATCCCATCAAACTCATCGACACGTTTTTTTGCAGGATATACTACAAGTGCGAGGCATGTAAGCACAAAGTCGGATGGGAGGATGAGCTTCTTGCTGGTGTTGCGCCGTTGGCAAAGCAGCAGCAGCAACAGCAGCAACAACAGGATCAGCAAGGACAGCAGCAGCCGCAACAACAACAACAACAGCAACCGCAACAACAACGGCAACAGCAACGGCAGCCGCAACAACAACGGCAGCAGCAACAACCTGCTCTAACCTCTCATGCGCCCGCCTCGAAGCCTTCCACTGAGCCTTCGCAGCCGCAGCCCCACCCCAAACCAGCGCAGATACCACAGCCAACAGGGGCCAAACCCGGTTCCGGAGATGACCCCGATGAGGTGGAAATTATGTTCGAACGACCGGCCCCGCCAGCACAGAAGCGAGCCACAGGGCCCAAGGGGCCACCTGCATCAGGAACGGTGGCCGCGGCAGCACAGGGACCTGAACTCAATGGAGAATCCCAGGACCGCGAATCGGAGAAGCCAAGCCAGGCTGGCGCGCGCACGGACGGCTATCCCCTTCGGTCACAGAAGCGACAGGCAGCCACATCCCAGCATCAGCGAGAGCAGACGAACTTGACTCAGGTTGCCCAATCAGCTAACCCCACGCAGCGACCAAAGCAGCCCGCCGCTGCCGCACCTGCACCTGCACCTGCGGTTGGGCAGCAACGCACGACTGCCAACAAGCCACAGATGCAGCCCACGGCGACAACCAAGCCTGCGAGTGTCCCGGGGCCAAAACGAAAGTTTGAAGATGCTTTTGTTGGCGAGGCGGCCGGACGGCCGGGGAAGCGGCCCGTGCAGGAGACCCGGCCCGCGGCTGCGGCCGCGGCTGGGGACACGCCCGCCAGCTCCGCGGCTGCTGCTGCCACGGCTACTGCTGACGCTGCCGAGGCGGTTTTCGCGGCGCGCCATGCAACTGCCGGAGGCGGCCCTCGCGCGAGCGGTGTGGGTGGCACGGCTACCGCGCCTGTGGGTGGTGCGGCCTGCGGAGGCGGGAGCGGCGTTGCACCCGCGGCGGGTCCCGGTCCGGTCGCAGCCGACGGCGTGTTCATGGCTCGCGGGATACGTGTCACCCCACTGACCCGGCCAATTCCCGTCTCCACGGCTGTAGCTACTGCGGCCGCCACAGCTGCTACTGCCCCTGGTGGCCCGCCGCCGACGTTCAACCCCGGTCGAAGCACCCGGACGAATCCTGAGATGGAGGACGCACACTTGGTTATTCGGAACCTTCGCCGTGACCTGGCAGTTCTTACTGCCAGGTTAAGGGATGAGCAGACGCGGGCGCAGCAGGAGGCGGCGGCTGCAGAGGCGCTGCGGTTGCGGCAGGAGCCGATGGAACGGGAAATGCGGGAGCTACGGCTAAAGTATCAGGAGGCGTTGCAGCGGGAGAAGCAGCTCACGGAGCAGCTGAACCTGTACAAGGCGCGAGATCGGCAGCAGGTAGCCGCGCAGCAGGCCGCACAGCAAGCTGCCGCGGCGCAACGGGCGCAGCAACAGGCGACGGCGCAGCGCGCACATCAAGCGGCGGCCGCGCAGCAAGCGGCGCAACAGGCAGCGGCGGCGGCACGTGCGCAAGCAGAGTTTGCCAAGCATTTTGGCCAGTGGGGTAACTGGAGCTATCAGCAATTCGGGGGCCACGGCGTGGGCCAGTCAGAATTCGAAAGTGCGTGGTTCAGTGGCGCTGGGCCAACGACCGCAAACGGCCATGCGAGCCACCCGGCCCGGGGCGCCGCAGGTCCGGGTCACGAGAGCGGGGGTGGGGCTAGCGGCGGCGGGGGGACGTACGGCGGGGCAGACGGGTCGTCCATGCCGAGCGGCAACGGGAATGCAGCCGGCGCCCGCGGCGCTGCCGGCAATGGCGGGGGGGGAGCGTCCGCCGCACCTCCGCAGCAGCAGCATAAGCAGCCGTCTGCAGCTGCTGAGGCCCGGGACGACCCGGCCGTGCTGGCCTTCGCCTCGGCGCCTCTGCCGGCGCTGGACGACAACACGCCGGTGCGTGCTCTGAAGCAGTTTCTTAACGAGGCGGGTGCGGAGGGGCTCATACGGCTCTGCGCCGAGAAGGCTGAGCTGCTGGCGCTGGCGCGAGATCGGATCAACGGCTGGGAGATCCGACGCGCCGTGGCCTGCAGTAAGCTGGTCAGCCAGGCCCAGGGCGACCGGGCGCTGTTCAGGGTGGAACCGGGGCCCCTGCAGCGCTCCGCCCTGGTGAAGCCCTACCGGGAGCTCATAATGCGGTTACACCCCGACAAGAACCCGGGGGACGATCTGGCCACACAGGCATTCCAGTTCCTGCAGGAATCGTACAAGCGGCTCAGCGCGCTGTCAGAGGCGTAGAGGAACGTAGCCCAGATTGTCCGGGACGTGGCCCAGACAGATTGCCGAAACGCTGTGTTGTGCTGTGGGTTTGTGGAGATTCAGCTGCTAAAAGAAAGGTCTGCGTGGCAAAAGCACCTCGTATGCTGATGGCTCTCTCAGCATTGCAGATTGCTAGTACAGTAGTACAAACTCTGGCAACTGGGGCAGTTGCTTTGGGTTTGGTCCCTTTTGCGTTGGTTCCCGACCCCGTTGGTCTTCCCGTCGCTCACTTTGCTGCAACACCAGCTGGGGCCAGATGCGGGCGCAGGGTGCGGGTGCAGGTCTTACAAGGTATCGGCTTTTGAAGGCCCCGACCCTGACCTGACCTGAAACTTGGAGCTAGATGCGCACTGTCGGGTCCTTAACGGCCGATGGGCCGTTATGAATGACCTGGCCGATGGGCCTTGGGGTTGGGAACATCTCCGAAAGTGCTCTCGCTTTGCCACACTTGAGTCAGCTTGCTCGATGAGTCAGCTAAGATGAGGCCATGACGGGTTGGGGGAGTAATCAGGCCCCGGGGAACTTGGAGACGAAGTATTTGGAGAATGTTACAAGGTGGAGTGTTCTGGGCCGTGTTGGGCCGTGTATGGATCCCGATTGATCAACTCCGGTCCAGGCGGTATGCGATGTTATGAATATGGAAGGGAGAGGCCTCCCATGTATTTAGGTACGCAGGGGGATGTTGCGTGGGGGTTGGGCGAGCCTTCGGACAGGGAGAAGAAGCGAGGAGAAGCAGAGGGGGAGGGAGAGAGAGAGCTGCTGGGTCAGCTCGCAACCAGGGGGCCCACATGCGGAGGTGCAAGGCTAGGGAAGTGTCACCGTTCCGTCCGCAAGCAGTGTTGGGGAGGGGTCGGGGATGGGACGAAACGGGGCAATGCCTTTCTGCCAATTGCACGATTGTGTGTACGAGGGCTGAGATGCGGTGGGCCGAACTGCGGGAAGCCGACTAGGGGAGCCAGGGGCCTATCAAATTGGGTGTTTGGGGGTGGTGTTTGGGTGTTGGTATGTGGCGCTCAGTGCGAAGGCCATTCGCTGATCGTTGAAGAGTTGAGGTCGCGTGGTTAGTCCGATGTGAGGAGGAGTTAAGCCCTGTATGTTTTGGCTGCGTACAGATCAGACAGATGTTATGGTGGTGATATCGTGGTAGTGGTGAGTTATTGGTTATTGGTTGGGGTGGCAAAGCCCGAACCGCCCGACCGCTGCATGGCATGGCACGTGACAGAGGTGGGATGATATAGAAACTTGGATGTGCGACGTGCTCCATTAAACTCGTTCACTATGGAACGAATGAGGTCCAAGGATTTGAGGAAACAGCTATAGATAGTCTTCATGATCTTTTTTACGGTGGTTGTGCGTTTTTAAACCCCCATCTGGGCACCCCCATGTGGTGCGTGGGACCCACCATCTACGAACCAGCATTCCTCACGTGCATTGGGAAGGGCCCGCCGCAGCTTCGAGTTCCTCTTGCAGGAAACAGAATGAGGCACGAAGGAGGAAACGATAGCTGGCACGGCGGGCTGACGGGCCGGCGTTGGCGAGATACCAGCCAGCTGCGAGGGGTCGCGCGCCAATGGCTAGATAGATAGACAGATAGACCGAGGTTGGAAACAGCGCAAATCGTCCTGTTTATGAGCCCCGCTGGCAAGGGCCCCACAATACCGTGTTTCGTGCATGTCCCTGTACACATCTTTAACGCCCTTGTCAAATTAATGGCGGCGCCCGCAAGCGGGGTTCTTCCCCTATTACTGTACATGCAACCTATAAGGTTATGCTCCTGGACAGATATTTTTTGCCCTTGTGCGAATCCCAGCGTTGCTGCAGCTGATAAGCTTACTAAAGGAGTCAGCCGCTCGACGGACCTTTTTAAATTATTTCAGAAGAGCCCTTTGTTGATGTCCAATTGTTCCAACTGTGCCAGGTGTACTGCAACAGGATGTTATCGTAAGCCGCTGTATTTCATTGCTCGCCTTTGCATAAGCTTTGTATCTGCATTTATTACGTTAGTTTCCCTCAATAGAATCCATATGAAAAAGCAAGTTTGATATATTTGCAATAAGATTTGCGTCCAGCCTTACACCCGATCCCAATGTTTAATCAGGCCACACCACATCCCAATGCGCTTAATGGGTGGGTGGGAGGGTCTTCGGCTGGTCCGCAAGTTTTAAGCCTTGGGTCCGGAGCGGCGGTAAGATGCTTGCATTTATGACAGGGAAAATTATTGGCTACTCTTGCGTCTTACTGCGGTCTCCAATGCGCGTGGGCGATTTACGCCCTGTTCATCTGCCTACTTGCATCGCGGCTGATCTCCTTCTCCTTAGGTTTAGATTAATTAGATGTAAACCACTGATTCCCGGTTGTCCTGAATGTGCGATCATTCTGATGCGTTTCCGTACCGCTGTCGTGCCCAGGTCGATGGCTTTGCCTTTCTTGGCACTGACGCGCCTAGCTCCGCGCAGCCTTCCTTTGTTCCTGGATGGGGCTTACGTGGCGTGGTGAGGTGTCGCCGAGCTATTGTGTTGTCCTTGCGCTTGCGATAGACGGGCCCGTCTCCCCGCAGGTCCCTCTTCGCACTGGCGGCCTCGGCCTTCATGGGGGTCCGCTTTCCTTGGTTGGATTGTCGGCTCCATCTCTCGAGTCTCCGCCTTTGGCGCCTTCTGTGGGTTATCCGTTTGCTGCCCCCTGTTCTGTGTGCAATGT